GACAATGGGTTTTTCATGCATGTTGGGTTCTAACCTTTGAAAACAACCACCAAATCTAATTCTCTCTCACAAGTTAAAAATCAACAATCAAACTTTTGCATGCCAATCATAATAAATCATAGTTAAAAAATAAAATATGCATATTTTTTTTAATGTGTAAAGTGGTCTTTCCTATAAAGCAAAAGCCTCTTAACAATTGATCCAACAAAAATCTCTATCTTCTCAGATCAGATTAGCAACTTTTCTGCACTATGTGTCAACCATAAAATTCCCTTAGCTCTTATTTACATTGTTCGAAACAAGTGATGAATATATTGCACCAAAAGCAACAATTCAGTCAAGAATAATTACAAAATTTCTGCAAAAATAGATGTATCTTCACAAAATAAGTCAAAACACATATTTCATTTAGTTAAAAAAAAAATAATAATAACCAAATGTTTCCTATAGTTGTTCACTCCCAGAAGAATCTATAAACAGTCTGTCAGCAAAGATAAATTCTTGTACCAAAAAAAATTATCTTGAGTAACATGATATTGGCAATTTTAAAATTATGAACCATAATTGTGAGTGTTATGGATTCTGTACAGGTGTCATATTCTTGTAATTTACAATTTTTTTTATTTCATATTTTTGTAATTACATTTATATGCAGTGTATAGCATTATTGAAGCAGCAAATAGAATAATGATGCTAATCGAAATATCATTATTGGAGAGATTAATAGAAAAGAACATGGAGAGTGAAAGTTGTGACTATAATTAAGAAAGCCAGAGAACCAGTTTCTAGGAGATTGAAGTCAAGATCCATATGTATACCCATTATCCATGCAACCACCACACATAAGGGAACATGAAAATTGAACAAGTTAATTTAGTATTTAATTTATATATAATTTCATCTTGGGTTTTATTTACTTAGTTATTTATTAATTTCAAGTCTCACCACAAACATTGAAATTTGAGTTGCTGAACCCATAGCCACCACCAGTTAGATATCCTGCATGACAGAGAAAAAATAAAATTAATAAAAAATTAAAAAATTTACTTGTCATATATTCAGAGAGGCAAAACTATAAAGATAACATATTAAAAATACATATGTATATTTGTGACATACCAACTTGTTTTTAAAAGCAAATATGACTGATCCAGCATGTTTTGCTGCATTCTCCACAATTGATAGCAATATTACACTGATAAAGCTAACATAAATTCCCCATGGATCTGAAGCAGCCTATTTTCATAAGAAATATTGATATCCATTAATTTAAAATGTTTATGAAACAGTTCTAAATAATATATATAAATAGGTCTGTAAGGAAGATTTAATAAGAAGTTTATATATATATCAAAACGAAGATGAACAATGGCCTTGATTGCAATGACATTCAAACTTGATTCCCCTGTTGTCATCATCCAAGAGCAAGTGAGATAAGATATCTACTAGATACCACTAAATACAAAAGGCTAAGAAGAACTACTGCTGATACAAAAAGCAGGAAGAACAATGCATGATATTATTGAAGAGCATACAACTACTAGCCATACATTGACACAAGGAGCTGCCAAATTTTCATAAAAACCATAATAGTGTATGTCTAGCACCACACACACTCAAAATCAAGAAATAAGAATATCACCCTCATTTTTCATTCCAACCATTAGTTCACCCTCTTCCCCTGCCGCTACCGCTGCATAAAGAAAGAAATGCTATTAAAAACACTAGTCCAAAAAAGGCAAAGATAACATTTTTAACTTAAAAATAAAATTAATTGATAATGACAGATGGAATTCTCACATGGAGAAGGATTTTTAGGGAAAAAACAGATAGTTTCCACTCCCGGAGCTGGACTAAAATTCCTGTCCCCCAAAGCAAATACATCGTCACCAATAATCCCAAGATCACCTCCTTCCATAGCACCTTCGGCAGATTCAAAAACTTCTACATCTGAATCTGATTGAGACCTAGTAACTATCAAGCAACATATAAAACTTTCAACACTGATTTCAAGTCCAAAAAAAAAAATTGATAATATATGTGAGTCAATACCATAAACGATATCCTTCTGTAACACCAATGTCCGTGCACCAGTAGAAATGTTTTGTTATTATTCGCAATTTGTTAATGGTAAATAGAGGCTTAATTCTTCATGGCTCAATGGTAAATAGAGGCTGCAAAAAATGAATGGAATGTTTTAGACAACAATCGACTCTGCATTGAATAATTAAAGAAATGGAAACAAGGAAAGAAATTTATTTGAGAGAGAGACCGTGTCCACACTAACTGGTTTCCCATCCTTTGCAAGCACCTCAACTACTGTTCCAGCTTGATCAGCCTGACACGGACAAACAAAAGGGAAATTTTATTTAATATCAAGGCACCTATATACCATTAATTAAAAAGTGAGTTTCTTAGCAAATTTTTGTGTGAAGTAACCAATCTACAAATTTTTTGTGTGAAGTAGCAACAGACTGATTCTTTCTTTCACATTTTTTTGGCTAGAACAACAATCTAAAACAAGGTCGGCAATCTAGGATCAAAACAAACACAAATTCACCCAGTTGGTGTGTCTACTATTAAGAAATAATTGGAAATAAATAAATAAATAAAAATCCTATGCCAAATGGAAACATTAGAAGTTATTGAATGAAGAGTGCAATAACAAACTACAATAGAGATATGTGAAATATTTTGAGATGAGGAAAACCTGATTTAAACCGTTTAAAAGAACTTTCTTGAAAACTCCAAATAGTAGGACAACCAAGGTAGGAATTCCAACCCAAGAAAGCACTTTTCCTTTTAGATATCCAATATTATGTGATTTAGCTCTAACCTATGAAAATCAACATTTTGTAACTTACACAAATTGTTTAGAAAAAAGAGAAAACTCCTCAAATATAAATAAAATTTGACAATACAAACCTAATCATGTGGATGAGTTTGAAAAGGTGCAAATCTAGTCATTCTTGAACCAAGCTCCAGTAGTTCAGCACATTCTCTAGCCTTAATAACAACATAATCACATCATTAATAAACCTGTGACAAGGGGACAATATTTTTTTTTTTTTTTTTTTTTTATTTTTTAAACATGATAGTTAGGGTGGGGAGGGTCATGGTCAAGAAGAGGGCAATCCCCTATTGTGTGTAGCCCATCAAAATTCAACCAAAAAGAAAAAGAAAGATAACTCCAGATCAGCAAATAACATTATATTTGTAAATTTTTTTGCATATTGGATTTTTAACTATAGAACTTCATGTGTGAACTAATCGATACAATCACAACAGTTATACAATGCAAGTAAAACTTATGGTATTGCTAATTGCAGAAATGAAGGGCTAAAAAATGAAAAGAAATAGGAAACCTCCGACAAAAACCCATCAAGTGATAGCCCTCCCGTATTCACAGACTGGGTGAACCGCACACACCTTAGAATCAAGTATCCAATGAGAAGAAAGGTGAAATCCCATTCATTTCAAGAAGATGCCAAGTGAAACAAATTTAACAAATATGTGTAGTATAGTATAGTATAGCTATCACCAAGAGATTACATTCATCCATCAGGGACTCCTAAAGACTTACATCCAAGACTTCTAAAAGTTGTTCAGATTTCTCACAAATCGAATCACAAAACATTTTGGAATAACTAGTTTGAATTCTCTAAACCAAAAATCAAAATTTATTCAGATCAAAACTCCAACTTAACCTCAATTAAATAATCAATAGTCATTCACAATCAAACAAGTTACAAATAATGGTTAAGCACGTTACCTTGAGACTAATAAACCCACAAAGGGCCTCGAATTCTGTTAGTGCCAAAGCCACTTCAGGCTTATAATTATCATCCTTGAAGACATCAGGCAGAGTCTTATGCAAAAACCCAGCAAATTCCTTATCAGGATGGGCCTGTATCGACAATGCCTTTGAAACTGAAAGTACCTAACACATTCCAATTAATCAAAAATCTATTCAATCACTTTAATACACAGACCATGAAATTCATAATCAAAGCAAAAACATCAAAGTATTTTTACCTTGAACATAAAAGGAAGAGTAACGCCCCATTTCTGAATAACCTTATTGCAAAGAACACCAGGGACTTTGGCAATCCACGAGTTCAAACTCAAACCCACACAGTCTGAACCAATCGACACTATCATTGAAGCTTTGGAGGACGAAGGAGGGTTCAGACTCATGAGTGCCCATCCAGAACTCGGCGTAAGGCTTGGCTTCATCGACGTCGATCCCAGAATTCAGAGAGAACAACCTCGTAACACGTGATTGGCGGCCGAATCGACCTCAATCGTAGTCCTGCATTGAACATCTCAGTCTCTGCGCCCTCCTCCTTTGACTCATCGAACCATTAGCCTCCATCAACGTCATACAAGAAAAGCACCTTCCATAGTGCTAGAAGAAACCCCTTCTGTAAACTGTGACTATACCATCGTCATCAACGGGATATTGAAACCCTAGAAATTTATGAATTTCTAGAGAAATGGCAGAGCTTCTCACACTAACCCATTGTAGCCAAACAATTTCTTCCACTTTAAAAATTACTTTTGTCTTTGGTTTCACAATTAAAAAAATTAAAAACTTGGTTGCCCTCTTCTCTCAGTATATGTTTTTTTTTAATACATATTTCTTTTTTGGGTGAATTGACGATAAAAATATATTTCTAATTAAATAGTTTTGAAATATTTAAAATTAATTTTTTTAAAAAATATTTAAAATTATTAGCGACAAAAATATTTTTCTCATTAATAATTTTATAATTGGTGACAAATTTTTTTCTCACTAAAAGTCTCAAAATTTTGGCGCCATCCAAAAAAAAAAAATTAGAGGAAAAATCTTTGGTGATGAAATTTAATTTTTCCTCACCTAAAAATAAGTATTTATTGACGAAAATAAATTTCTTCACCTATTATTTTTACTTTTTATTATATGTGACAAAATTTTGTAATTCGTCACGGATTATTCTTATTTAGTGACAAAATATTTTATTCATTTCTTTGTCACCATAGGTTTAGAGAGTTAATTAACTTGTGTTTTGTTTTGAGAGAGAGAGAGAAATTGATAAGCAAAAATAAAAAGGGGAAAAAAGTTAGTTGTCTATTTTTTCCATTA